CCCCCCCCCCTGCCCGCTCTCTCTCACTCAAGGCGTGCAAATAAAGCGCGAGAGTATTATTTGCCGGGTCCCGTTACCGCCGCGCTCAGGTGCGTGGACAGCCCCTCGCTCGCCCTGGCCTTGCCCTCCGGCAGCGGCAGACACGGTGTGGAGCCGCAGTCCGCACCGCACACCCTGCCCCCTGGTTAATTAACACAACGAGTTGAATGGTTGACCCCATCCTCCAAACGAGCAGCAAGCGACCCGCGAGCAGTGCGCTGCTATACAGTGCAGGCAAGCAGGACGAGAGGGAGAAAAAAACGCGCTGGAAAATGCCTACGAATAACATAGTTAGATTTAAACGAATTTTCACGACAAACATTGTCAGACTTGCCTAGAAGAAGCGGCGTTTTTCGGTATGTTTTCCTATGTATTTCTAGGCGCAATTATCAAATTTTAATTCGAAGGCACTCTTGTCTCCTTTTTACAAAAAATTAGCTCGGTAGATAATTAAGGCAGAAACACAGTCCAGCGCCACCTGTGGCGCTTGAGGCAACAACTGTTTGATAAAGCAGCGGCAGCAGCAGCGCCGCCGTAAGATTATCCTTATCATATTCCCTTCCCAGCGCCGTGCCAAGGTCGGCCGTTTGGATTGTTCGCCGGGGTTGGCGTTGGCCCGGGCCGCGGTAGCGACCCCGTGCGCTGCACCTGCTCTAGTTGCTAATGAGTGGCGATGCCCGCCCAATTAACCTGGATTCGCGTCGCGGGCTTAATCCGCTGCCGCAGCTGATTAATGACCGGGAGGAGGGACCGCAGTGCGGGACCAGCTGACTGTACCGCACCGCACTGTACTGCAACAGCGGCGCACCGATGCACTGCGTGATTGGGCGAGGAGGTAGAGGGGACATAAATAGGCAGCGCGAGGGCGTCCGAGCGATGCGGGCTGCCTATCGACAGTTCGCAGGCGCTTTGGAGTGTCTTGTTTCCTACGATCCTCGCTTAGCAGCGATATGGGTAGGCAACGCGGTGACGTCCGTGAGCAGCGGGTTGCCTCCACACAGTTCGCAGGCGCTTTCGAGCTCAAGTGACGAGATCTGCCAGGATGGTTATTGCTTTGTTGTAGGGTGGGTAGGCAGTGCGAGGGCGTCCGTGCGAGGCGGGTTGCCTATCGACAGTTCGCAGGCGCTTTTGAGTGTCTTGTTTCCTAAGATCCTTGCTTTGCAGCAATGTGGGTAGGCAACGCGGTGACGTCCGTGAGCAGCGAGTTGCCTATACACACGATTCGCAGGCGCTAACCTCCCGCCCAGCTGACTTCGTCTTTCTAATCCTGTATTCCCGTTTGCCTGTTGCAGGTCGAATGACGCGTGCGTCGAGCAAGCCGCTGACGCTGCCCGCCCCAAGCCGCGGGCCCGCCCCCCTCTGCAGAGGCCCCGCCCTGAGGGGCGCCGCCCCCAGGGGCCCCGCCGCCAGGATGCAGCGCTACTACGCCGCCCCCACTATGTCGCTGCGCCGCCCCCCGATGGGGCACGCCCCCGGGCACGCTCCCGGCCCCAACGGCCCCGCCGGCCCCGGGCCGCACGCCATGCTCGTGCTGCCGCCCCCGCTCGTGGACTCGTGCCCGGCCGACAAGTCGTCGCGGTCCTCGACGTGGACGTCGTACGGCGCGGGCTCGGCGCTCGGCTCGGCCATCGGCTCCAGCAAGACCTTCTCGTCGGAGCTGGAGCGCGGCGAGCGCATCAAGCCGGAGCGCGCCAACCGCCGCAACGCCGTTCAGAAAATGCAGTGGCGCAGCTCACGCTGGGTCACGGGCTTCGCCGCCGGCGAGTATCTGGGTGGCGGGCCGCACCAGGACGCCGAGCTGGACCACCGCATCTCGTCCATGACCATCGCGGACGTGTCGCCGCGCTTCGCCGTCAAGAGGATCCTGCTGCTCTACGAGAACCAGCAGCACCGGGAGGCGGCCAACTTCATCAACCGCCTCAGCCACGGCACGTTCAAGGTGAGAGCCGCAGGTCGGACGGAAGGAGAAGGAGAGGAAAGCGTTTCACTCTCGTCAAACGATGGGTCGAAAGGGACCCTTTTAGACGAGCAGATCGTTTACCGACTCGAAACGCAAACGACTCGGCTGGGCGTGGCTTCACTTTCCTCGTGGCACTCCGGCGCGACACACCTGTCTGCTGCCCCCTCTCCTATCCGCCGCGCCCTGAACGACGGCGCGCTGGGAGAGCAGGTTACGTTGCCGCAAGGATGTGATAATAACCCTAGTCGCGCTCCAACGAGCTGCCAACGGCTTGCGTCCGCCCACACTTACGGCCGCTCACTCAAATCGCATTATCATTAAAACGCACAAGCGGCAAAAAACCGCTGCAAAAAATAAGATAATTGAGAAAACAAATGTGAAAAAAGGTAAAAATCCCATTCGAGTATATGCCTTTTTCTGACCTTCATCCGGAGAAAGGTGGACGGGACAGGCGGGCCTGACCCAAGGCTGGCCCCGCCCGGGGGACCAGGAGGGCCCAACCGATACCGGTGGGGTCGTCGGGCCGCCGGGTCGGGCGGAGAGGAGGATGTGTCCGTCAATTCATTTCCCCTTTTTGCCGGGCCGTGGGGTGCGGCGCGGTGCTGGCGGCGCTGGGTGCGGGGCGCGGCGCGGCGGCCGTGTGAGGCGTACATCGCGTACTAATCGTACCGGCCGCCAGGGCCCGCGGGGGGTCCAGAGCAGCGCTGCCCGGAATACTTTTAATGGTCCGGGGAGTGCCCTGCCCGCGCCGCCGCGCCTCACCCCGGCCGCCCCGCCCCGTCCGTACGGATCTGTCCGCCCGCGGCGGGAGGTCCGGTGCGGCCCGGGCGGGGCAGGGCTCGGATCGGCGTACTGTACGAGCGCTGCGCATGCGCAGGCGGCGCTCGTAATGACCGACAGCCCCGTTATGGTTTGCGCGCCAAATTCAAAAGGGGGACCCGTCCCGTGATAAAGACACATCGGGAGCACCTCGGCGGTGCCCCCCCCCCCTTTTCCCCCTGCTTCTTGTGCTTTGATTAATCTTTTAATCAGCCTCGCATGACATCTGCATCTGCAGCCGCCCCGCTGCGAGAGCAGAACAGTTGGAGGGGAGAGTGGGGGGGGGGGAGAGTATACCGGACCGGGACGCGCCCCGCTAGCTCTTGTTTTTCTGCGGGTTAATTTCCACGACATCAAGATACGAGCTCTCGCCCGAGGAGAAGAAGGGGAGTGGAGGCCTCGGACCGGGCAGGGCAGTCGGCCCCTCCTCCCCATTCCCTTCTTCACCTTGCACGCCCCAGAGAGGAGGAGGGCCCCCTGCAGGACACACACACCAAACCACTGGTCCGCAAGACAATGGGCCAGCGCTGCTGCAAGTCACGGCTCCCGTGGCCTCCCCCCAAACACACACTGACTCACTCTCAATCACAATCCGGCCCTTCTCCTTTTTGATGCACGCTTGGAAAAAGTCGGCAGTTGTAGCAGCGGGCGCCCTATAGTCACATCATACATCGGTTTATAAGAAAAAAGGTTTACGTAAGCGAATTAAGACAACTAACGCTCCCTCCATTCTAATAGCGTCGCTGCACCGGAGCTGGGGAGCACCACACCACTCTCGTGATGCACCGCTCGGACATTATTAGAGCGGGAGAAGAAGAAAAAGAGGAAGAGGGGGGGAGGGGGGTGGCACGTAAACACAAGGCAGAGAGCTGCTAGCGAAAGCAGAGCTCGAGCATACCGCCCGGGAGGGATCGGGATCCTTGAGCCGATAATCTGGTGCGCGGGGACACACACACACACACACACACGGCGTGGCACGGGATGAGCTCACAAAGCGGACGGAGCAGCCCGGTGCCACAAAGAAAGTGTTTGCAGCGACGTCATTCCACACACACACGACACAAACGCAACGCACACACAAACACACACACGGGGAGATGGGGGATGTCGTCGTCGTCGTCGTCCTCTTCCTTTCACTGCAGGAATTTTTTAAGAGGCATATCAAAAAAATAAGAGCGAGAGGGGTTATGGAGAAAAAGTTGCAGAGTGAGATAGGGGCGGCACGGTATGGTGGTGGGATGTTTGGAGGATGATGATGAGCTGAAAGGAATGGCGGTGCAGCGGCGCCGCGACGATCAACATTCCCTTCGACCTGGGCTCCGCGGGGGAAAGGGGCGGGATGCCCGATCAGGCTGTGTGGCTATAGAGTGCCACCGGTTCAGTCGCGGGGAGAGGGAGCGGGGTAGGGGATTAAAGAAACAGTCAGCTGTCCTCGACGCCAGGCGAAAACAAAATCCGTCGTGGCCGCCGGGGGTGCGGCGGTGCTGTACGGAGGACCCCACACACTCTCCATGTGTGTGTGCGCGCGCGCGCGTGAACTCCTTCTCACACCTCTGGCCACACCCCAGGGCTTGGCAGCAGCAGGACCGTCGGCTTTCCAGTTTCCCTTTCATTTGGGTCGTCAGCCCGTCCGCCCATCCAGCCGGCGCAGGCCCCGCAGGCCCCACTTCCTCCACCCAGAGGTGCGCGCGCGCGCCTGTGTGTGTGTGTGAGTGTGTGTGTGTGTGTGATTTATCAGACTGACGGGGTACACGGGGGCGACCGACTCGCGCGCGCACGAAATGGCCGCGATCGGCGTCGTGGAATCCGCCGAACAAGAAAGCAAATGGGTGGCACGGCGCCGTCACCCTGACCCTGACGGGCCGGCCGGCTGGTCGGATACGAGGCGGGAGAGTCACTTTCATCAAAGACGAGGCAGGATTATCATTCGCGCGTCAAGTTTTTTTGTGACCTTAAAAGCAAAGCTAACCCAGCCTCTTTCCCCTTCAGGTGATCGTCAACGACCTGCCCATCGACCTGTTCGTCGAGTCCATGCCCGCCTCGCTGTCCATCCTGGAGGCGCTGTACGCCAAGGTGTTCCTGTCCGACGGGCTCGACTTCTCGCTCAAGCTGCTGCGGCCCGAGGCCGTCGTCATGCAGATGGTCCGCCTGTTCGCCGGCAGCGACGCCAACAACTCGTGGCAGCTGTGCGGGCCCTTCGTCACCTCCTGCAAGAAGCTGCTCAAGGTGGGGGAGGCGAGGCGGACGCCCGTCGCGTGTGCGCGCTGCTCAGAGGGAGAGAAGGGAGTTTCTAGCTTGTTCTCACCTTTGCTGCAGGTGATCGTGCTGTCCGAGCCCAAGATCCGCAAGATGCTGCAGGCGCGGCGGCGCGCGCTCGACAAGGCGATCGAGGGCCTGGGGCAGCACGGCTTGGTGGGCACGTCCGACGAGACGCTCATGAACCTGCACGACGCCCTCAAGGTGGAGTTCTCGCGCGTCGTCGAGACGTACAAGGGCGCCATGCAGAAGCTGGAGGACCTGAGCCTGGCCGGGCAGAACGCCGCCACCGGCATCAACAGGGGCCCCGCCCCCGTGCAGGCGTCGCACCAGCGGCAGCTCTCCCTGCGGCAGCCAGAAATACAGGTGAAAAAAATAAATTCCCTTTAACAAATTTTTGCTCCTTTACATTGGGTTAATAAATAAGTGGTACTGCAATGCATCGGTTTGAAAATCAATCGGCAATATCAAAACCGGAACAAACGACGGCAATCTCTATCAAACCGGGAAAGTTTTACCAGCTTTGGGTAGAGGCACCCTTAGGGGAATGTCTAAAAAATGTGTGTTTTGACTGCTTCACCCTTTGTAGGAGCGGCTGATTAAGAACAAGACCCTGCTCAACGTGGTGGAGCCCACCATGGGCAACCACTCGCTCGACATCCTGCTGGGCATCCTGCAGCGGCGCATCGAGTGCGACAAGGACGCGCTGTTCCAGTTCACGACGCTCAAGCGCGAGGCGCGCTCCGGCGTCACCGCCAACGACATCGTGGCGCCCGTGCTCATGCGCTTCAGCCACGGCTGCGACCAGGTGAGTGCCGCCCGACGGATGGCGCACCCAGAGGGATCGTGCAACGTGCAACTGCAGTAGTCAGAGGCCGTACCAATTCTACGTTACTTTTTTTTGAGGGGGGGTGGGTACAAATATGATGGCGTCCCAAAGGGATGAGGAACATCATTGGAGTCCATAGAAACACCATGATATTTGTACCCCAGGGATCGCGCACCTGCAGTAGTAAGGGGCCGTACCAATTCTACTTGACTTGTAGAGGGGTACAGATATTATGGGGTCCCAAAGGGATCAGGAACATCATTGGAAACCATGGAAACACCTGAATATTTGTACCCCCCCCCCTTAAAGTCAGGCAGTATTGGGACGACCTACTAGTCCTAGCAAACGGACAGCGGAAGAGGTACGCGTGCGACTCTCTGGGGCTCACTGTCAGCTGTGGAGAAGGACGGACGGCGGCCACCATCATTTCGGCGCAGCCGCATCACTGCGCATCGCGGTGCAGAGAGCGAACGGCAGAGCGGCAGGTGCAGAAAACAAAACCGCTACCGCCATCCCGGCTTCGGTGAGGCGGAGGCGCCGCGACCCACTGGCGGCCCTCCTCCTCCTCAGCCCAGCGGCACGACGACGGAGCCCGGCCCGCCTGCTTCCTGGCGTTTCCGGCGCGCGGCCCGCGAGCCTTGATCACCGCCGCCCCGCCCGCCCCGCGCCGCGCAGCTGCACCGCCGGCGCGCGGCCGGTGGACCGAAACGCATCATCGCCTCCTCCTGCTGCCTCCTCGACTCGAAATATCTTGCGGAATCCCCGGCCCCCGCCTTGCCCCGCTTGCCCGGGCGCGCGCACCTGACCCGTTCACCGGGAGCAGCAAGCAGCTGCGGCAGCTGGCGAGCTGCACCACCCCCCCACCTGCTCGGCCTGCCCGGCCTGGCTGTCATTCCGCGACAACTCAATACACTTTCACTAAGTGACCTTTGCCACATAACTGCGGGCGTGCGTGCGTGCGAGCGAATGTGGCGTGGGTGTGTGCGTGCATGTGAATGTGCGCGCACGCGGCGCAGCAGCGCACCCATCGGCCCACAGAAAGAGGCGTCCACGTCGCGGACAAGAGAGCGGACCGCTTCGCGGCGGGCGAGATAAGGGAGCCAACAAAATAGCTACTGGTAAGGCTCCGGCGTCTGGAAAGGGAGGCTTTCTACGCGTAAATCAGTCAGACGGAGAAGACTATACTTTGGCTGGGCACGGCACACTACTGGGTTCATGTGAAAAAGCTTATACAAATAATTGAGAAGGAAAAGGAAAAGGCCAAGGGGCTAAAAGCTTCACTCGCTCGGAGATATGATGAGGGTGACCAAAAAGAGGAACAAGAAGAATGTATAGCGCTAGCAGAGTAACGGGGCGTAGTTTCGTGAAATTTTCAAAAAAAAAAAAAAAAATGGGTCTAGCTAGAGTGAATGTGTTCGAGTCGAAAAATGGATCTGAAAATTTAGGGTTAGCGCAAATGAGTTCACACTGGTTCACACAAACAAGAGGATCCCGATAAGTAACTCTAACCTGGAAAACGTCCTGAACCGCTCTAAAGGCCCAGACCGGAAAAGGTCTACATTTGCATTCAATTTTAGTACTCGACCATCGTAATAAACCTTGATACAGGTTATGCTATGTTGCTAGATGAACAGATATGCACAGGCCCGCTCTTAACAGTCTTACACCCAACGTCACAAAACCTAACCTCTGCTAGACAGACTGCCGCTCATGTGCTGCTTTGAATCGAGGTACTTTCTTCTTCTTGTTCCTCTTATCGGGCACCCTCCACACGAGGAAAAACAATAATGGACCTAAACAATTGATAGTCAACAGCAGTCAGAACACCCGACTTACCTTTGAGAACTCTCACCCGCGGCGGCGACGCTACGGGGAGGCGAGGCGGACGCCCGTCGCGTGTGCGC